TAGTAGTGTAGTAGTAGTAGTAGTAGTAGTAGTAGTCGTAGTAGTAGTAGTAGTAGTAGTAGTAGTAGTAGTAGTAGTAGTAGTAGTAGTAGTAGTAGTAGTAGTAGTAGTTAGTAGTAGTAGTAGTAGTAAGGGTAGTAGTAGTAGTAGTAGTACTACTACTGTACTACTACTACTACTAGTAGTCGTCGTCGTAGCAGTCGTAGTAGTAGCCGTAATAGAAGAAGTAGTAGTAGTCGTAGTAGTAGTAGTAGTATTAGTAGTACTAGTAGTAGTAGTAGTAGTAGTAGTAGCAGTAGTAGTAGTAGTAGTAGTAGTAGTAGTAGTAGTAGTAGTAGTAGTAGTAGTAGTAGTAGTAGTAGTAGTAGTAGTAGTAGTAGTAGTAGTAGTAGTAGTAGTAGTAGTAGTAGTAGTAGTAGTAGTAGTAGTAGTAGTAGTAGTAGTAGTAGTAGTAGTAGTAGTAGTAGTAGTAGTAGTGGTAGTAATGGACATCAGCCGCGGAAGTGTTAGTATTGTTGCAATACTGCTGTAGTCGTAGTACTCTCGCGTTGTAGTCGCACAAATACTCCAGTAGTGGTTGTCGTAATGCTACTGTGCGATACAGTGTGGCTGTACTCGCACTAGTAGCAGTACGCTCGCATCGTAGTAGCAGTACGCCAGCAATGGCTGCAACAGTGGCACTGTAGTACGGGAGTACTGTAGTACCATCACTGTAATAACAATGGTACGACATGTGCTCTATAGAATTTTCTGCACCGCTGAAGTGCAAGAGTAGATATCGGGAACTGGCTGTAGCATTTGAGCGGTAGCACCCTGGTGTGTTCATACTCTAGTGTTGCAACAACACCTTTACAACTGCTACACTAGAGTGTAGCGCATGTTGCAACAGTAGTCGTAATACCCTCAGCGCTGTAATAGGGGTAGCGCCGCAATAGTACAGTGGTAGTACCAACACCCCAATACTGTAGCAACATTCGTGCCCTAGCACTGGATGTAGCAGCCGTGCTCTTCATACTGTGGTAGTAATACCCCGATACTGTAGTGCTCTAGTACGGTAGTGCTGCAGCCGTACAGCACTTCTGGAAATGCAACACCGTATTCGTAATACTTGTTATGCTGCAGCCGTACTGCAGCAGCGCTGTGGTAGTAGTGCTCCAGTACAGAAACCAGCCGTCGTCTTTTACATGCTGAATATATCTAACACCTCAAATATACTCTGGTGCTCTAGCATTGCGGTAGCACGACGTACTGTAGTACTGCAGTGGCCTTCTAGTAGGTCATTCATGGGTCTCGCGGTCTTGCTTCTGTGCAGCCCAATCTGCCGCTTGTCGTGTACACTATCTTTTTGGTTGTGCTGCTCGCGGGCAGGTGCTTTCTGGGGAGGCCGATCGCGACGCTGTGGTCGGAAAAAAGAAACGCCACGACCATCGTCAATATTTGAAGAAAATCCGCATGGGCTTTAGCAGGGGTGGGAGAATACGCTAGCGTCCATCCATACACACATGTATAGATATACATATGTATATACATCTGAACATGTGTATACATATATATATATGTATATATATAGTTTGTGCAGGTATTTATGTAATACATAAATATGTACACATGCGCTAGGACAAACGACAAGCACGCACCCCAGCAACATTCAAACGTAACACGCGCAGGTAGCATGCAGCAGGCACACACGCAACTCAAGAACACATAACAGGGGCATATGCCCAAATCGCACGCCAACATCATACACCACGACCATAATATATACCAGTCGTGCCCATGCAGAACAAACATCAATATCAACCACCAGTGATACGCATCAGACCAAATCAGCAAAACATGAAGCACACAAATCGTATAGCAAGAAATGAACCAATCAAATATCTCCAGAACAGGCATCACGAGCTGTCATGATCATACCCGACAGATGTCGAAGACATTCGCAGCTGCTCCCTGGCGGGGACCGCCCGCAGTCGAGTTACGTACGTCATTTCAAAGGCTTCTAGCCTCATTTTCTACATGCTTACCATGTCTTGGTTGCCGATAATCTTGAGTAGTGGCAGTCCCCCAGAAACAACGGAAACTTCAGAAAAAAAAAGAGGCACGCTAAACCACATAAGTTTCGAAGCAACATGCGCGCACCCCGCTAGAAGGACAGTGTTTTGTACCAGGCAGGTAGCAGGGTGCGGGGAGGAGTATGAAGCGACGCATCCTGGCCACGAGGGAGGCGGCTGGACTCTCTGGGCCACGTCCTTCGATCGCTGAGCGCGCAACTTCTGGCCTTCTTTGGACATGGAGGAGGAAAATGTGTCTCATGTTTCTCGAGGCCGCCCGAAGGAAAGGTCGAAGCGCCGGTGAGGCCCCAGCAGCACTCGCCCTGGCAGCGTGCCCTTCCCAGCGCCCTGCGAGCATCAGGGACAAACATAGGGGTCCTTGGAGGCCGCATGTTCACGAAGAAATCGCCCATGTAGCCATTGCCAAGCGTTTCCCAGTTCTGCGGGTCCTGCAGTGCTGAAGCTGCCAGGTGGCACTAAAAGGCCTCACTTAAGACCCATCTCCCGCGCCAAGTCTGGCGCCGAGGCGCCGAGGATCCAGGAGAGCCCATAATCGAATCGATGAGTCGGATCGGCAATCGAACCAAATCGGATCGGGGGAAACCGGCTGCCGAGTCGGGAAAAATCGGCTCGGCGGAAAAATGGGCAGGCTAGTAGGCCTCCGTTGAGAAATCGGGGCCCGGATCGGAAGCCGAAGCCGAATCGGAATCGGAGTCGGAAGGCATCGAACTCGGAGTCGAATCGAATCGGAGGAGTCGAAGCGAGCCCCGGGGATCTCGGCAGCGGCAGAGCAGACAGGTCACGGCTGCACGTCAGCAGGCCCGGGGAGGCCCCTGCTGCAGCCAGCACCCACCCACGGAGACCCCAGGCGCCGAGCAGCTCCAGGAGCCAGGCCAGACCGAAGTCAGGAGGCAACTGCTGGGAGGTGTTCGTCGGAAAGGTTGAAGAGGATTAAGCCCCATTTGGGAGCTGCTACGCCGGAAAGGGCCTCGGACTAATATCGTCCTCTCTGAACGACAGACCTGGACCACAAAAGCCCGCACGCAGATTGGAGAACGTCGCCGCGCCCAGTCATGCTGATGCTTCAAACGTTTTCGCCCCCATCCCCCCCCCCCCGCAGCTGCCTCCCAGCAAGATCTGGAGCTACCTGCAGCTGACTGGGCGATGTCCCTGGCGTCGCGTCTCTGGTGCCCAGGGGAAGGCCGTCCGCTTCCAATCAGCACCGTTGCCCTGAAAAAAATTGTCTAGGTGGCGACATCCGAACCCTACCCCCATCAACCGTCGATTCTCCGGAATCGGTGGGACGCGTGGCTTCGGCTTGGACATCGCCACGTGCTTGATGCATTCCGACCCCTGCCCCCACCGCCCGCCGAGTCACCCGAATCGTTGACCGGCGATGGTTAGGCTCGGAGCTCGCCGCCGATTATCGCAAGGCTACAGTGTGGGAATTGGCTTGCAGCGACCAGCATGGCCGCTGCTCGAGCGGCTCTTGGGGAAACCGCAGGAGGTACCCATGCCGCTACTCCCCGAACCTCTCCCAGGGTGCGTTCCGACAAGAACTTCGAGGCGAGTCCAACGGTGACGACGAGGGCCTCCGAGGAGGCCCAAAAAGGGGAAAAGGGGCGGATGGTCGCGTTAGGTCGGACATGTCCTCCTACAAGCGGATGTTTTAGGAGCAGTTGAAAATACTGAAAAATGCCTGCAAATACGTAGTCTTGTAGAAAAATGACTTCATACTATGTTTTGACTATTTTTGAACTTTTCTCCTGTAGAAGGACATGCCCGACTCAGGGTAGCGGTATGGGTGCCTTCCTTTCGCACCGCTGACCAGCGACGCCGCCGCTCGCGCGGCTCTGGCCGGTAATTAAAAAGGGCAATGCCGCAACTCGCGGACGAGCTTGGCCAACGGCGGCGCTCCCACCGGGGCCGTCTCTGGCCAGGGGTCGCCACAAAAGCCCCGGGAGACATACATTAAAATCCACACAGCTTCCAAGACCCCCCGCATCTTTCCAGATTGAGCCCGGCTGGAGCGCATGTCCATTCCTGAAACTGACAAGCCCAGAGGCGATGACAATCTTAGGGATGCGCCCTCGGAAACTCAGGGAACCCTTGCGATCACAATGGGGTAGAGGGACATGTCTCAGGATGATGAACATCTCCTCGACTGTCTTATTCCCCTCCACTCTCCATGCGCAGAGGAAGAAGCAATGACATAGACACAAATGGTCGGCGGGGTCCGCGCGGACTTCTTGGATCGGTGCTGGACCCCCCTCCCTGGCGCACGGAGCGTGCCATTGGGCGGCGCCGCAGGCGCCGCCAGGGGGCTCTGTCGCCGATCCGCGAAGTCCGCGAATGACTTCCGAAAATCTACGTCAATGCCATCCTTGGCCCCCGGATATTTTCCCAAAGTTTCGTGTAGTCCAGCGTTTATGGGCACCAGTGAAAATCGATTGAGTATCCGCCCGCCCCCTAAAGAGGACGGAAAAAGGGGTAGCCACTCGATCATTGAAGTAGGAAGGCGCTTCAAGTAGACTGGAATCTGGGAGTCGAAAAATACCTGTTTCAACGATCGATGTGTAATTGTGTTTTCTTCCCCTACCTGCTGCGGGGACAGCAAGAGACCACAACCACATCGAGGACACACCCTGGGGGAGGTCTTGCGCATGCCAAGACTGTCGGAACACCGAAGCCCGCTTCGCACTGGTTGTGGTGGATATGGCGTCCCAAGACGGCCAAACCGACCACAGCCACAACGGGAGCGCTCATGTCGAGGTCGGTGGGTTCTCCCCCGAAGGGCTCTCTCACAAAATCCACTTAGTTGTAGTTGTGCTTCATTATTGCACCTGGAGTTTCATGGGAATGTTGGCGGCGCGGGCAAAGGCAGGGGGAGGGGGGAAGGCTTCTTGGAAGGAGGCTATCTCTTAGAAGGCGCGGGCCTTGTCTGTAGATGTAAGGCCCGCGGCTCCTGAGAAGCAGGGGTGCTCCTAAAAAGCTTTCCCCCCTCCCCCTACCCCCCTCCGAGCGCGGCTGAGGATGAGCGTTTATGTGTGCTTATGTTTTCTTCCCCGCCCATGCGCGGGCTGGCGCGCCTCCCCCCCCCGGTCCCCCTCCTGTCATCTCGTCTGTCGTCCCTCGCTCGTAGTCGTGCCGTGCCACTGGGCTTCGTGTGCTCTTGTAGAAAGAAACAAGCGCGCTCCACTACTGCCCAAGAAACTGCTCGCAGATGGCCTGGACCCGACGCGGGGGATCCACGATCCAGGACATCGAGGCGCACAGGCGATTTTCGGACGTTTGCGAGTAGGCACCCTGCCAGTAGTGGAGCGCGCTCGGTGACAACCAAAATAATGCCTTCTTGTCCCCAGATGTCCCGGCCCCTCTCCCTGGGACTGGAGGCCCCCTACATGGGGTCGGAGTAGATGGGGTCGGAGGATCGCACCACATCTCGCCGATGCATCGCCGATGCATCGGCGATACATCGGCGACGTCGGCCATGCATCGGCGACGTCGGCGTGGAGAAAATCGGGCTCCACATCGAGCCGCATCGCCGATGCATCGGCGATGCAGCGCGATTCTCCGACCCCATCTGCTCCGACCCCACCTAGGAGGCCCAGAGGGACCGGTCGTTCATCTGGAGCTGTTTTTTGACGGCCCCGTGGCCTGGCAAGGGCCTCCAGAGGTCGAAAACGAAACACCTTTCTAGAAGAAGAAACAACGGCATAAACATAAACTTCTGGCGCTCCGCGAGGATTTCTTGGATCTGCGCTGGACCCCCTCCCTGCCGCGCGGAGCGCGCCAAGGGAGACGATGGAGGCGCCGCCCTTGGCGCGGATCCAAGAAATCCGCACGGAACGCCAAAAGTTTATGTGGATCCCGTTTTTTCTTCTTCGGACCTTCCGTCGGGATCTTTCACGACGCGACCATGTCTGGGCTTCCCTCCATGCGTCGCATCAATTCAGCGCCCCTCTAACGGGGACTCCACCAACGGGTACTTTGGACAGTGGCGCGGCGAACCCAATCCCCCCCGATGTGGGCAGCGCTGCAACACCAGAAAGAGACCCTGCAGTGGCAACCGTCTGCAAAAACTCTACATCGAGGTTGGTTGGGGCAGCGGCGGAGCAGAACAGTGACAATTACCTCCGTTACGTTCCGTAGCAATCTGGGTCAAGAGGGGCGCCACTTGCCAGTCTAGGATCCCAAGATCTAGCAGATTGCAGCCAGAACAAAAGCATCGTGCCCACACATTGTCTGCTTGAGATCTCTGCGAGCCCTCGTTCTTGAGTACCCGCTAGCTTGGGGGTCGGAAAAGGGTGTGGAATCAAGGGGTATGGTGCCAATCGTGGAAATGGCGATGCTGTCTGCGATATATATATATATATACACACAAGACTGCATTGGCGCTGCGCGCCATGCACCTTGGTCCTTTAGAGTTTCGCACGTTAGCGGAGTGCGTGCGTGCGCACATGCGCACACACATGCGCCTGTGGAAACATACGACACATGCACATGCAAATATACGTATGTATGGGTATGTACATGTATATGCAAATGGTCTGTGTAACTATGTGTGCGCATAGAAATGCGTATCTCAGGCGATATTGGCCTGACCAGCTGCTCTGGGCATGGGGAAGTGGGGGAGAAAAGAAAACTGGTTCTGCTAGAATCTTGACGGGGTGGGGAAGAGGAACATGAAGAGGATCAGGAGGAGGAGGGGGAGGAGGAGGAAGAGGAGGAGGAGGAGCAGAAGGAGCGAAACATACGAGGAGGAGGCTGAGAGGAGAAGGAGCAGAGAGTATACAGAGGAAGAGGAGGAGGAACAGGAGGATAACGGGAAAGAGAAGGAGGGAGACGGGGAGAAGAAGGATAGAGGAAAAGAAAAAAGATTGGAAGGCTTCTGGGGGTACCATTAAAGCTCAGTGTTGGGAGCCCTGGTGTTATGTAGCGTTGTGGGGCCTCTTGGGAGTCTTCTTGGGGCCCTTTTGAATCCCTTTTAGGGCCCTGTTGGGGTTCTCTTGCGTCGTCTCGGGGCCTTTTGGGGCCGTCTTGGGGCGTCTTGGAGGCCTTTGGCCGTCGTGGGGCTCTCCTGGCGGCGTCTTGGGGCCCTCTTGGGTGCCTCTTTGGGCGCTCTTGGGCCTCTCTTGGGCCCGTCTTGGAGCCTCTTGGGCTGTCTTGGGACTCTCTTGGATCGTTTTCGGGCTCTTTGGGGCTTGGGCTATCTTGGGGCGATATTTGGAGCCTCTTGAGCCGGTTCGGGCTGATGTTGGCCCGAAAAGGGGAGAACCGGAAAAACTTCTGAAAACCATACAGAGATCAATGAAATGTCCCTCTTGGGGCCCTTTTGGGAAGCCTCTTGGAGGCCTCTTGGGGCGTCTCGGGGCCCCCTTGGACGGTCTTGGGCGGTCTTGGGGTCTCTTGGAGCGCTCTTGGGCTGTCTTGGAGCGCTCGTGGACCC